GCTTTTGAGCCTGTGCACTTACATGGGGAACCTGGGTTGAGTCATATAAATTATCATTTAAAGTAAGAGGGCCCAGTGCCATGGTTTAGTGGCTATATCCTTATCTTGCATGACTCGGGATCCCATATAGTCACCAGTACATGTTCTGGCTGCTCTAATGCTCATCCAGCTCCCTGCATGTGGCCTGGGAAAGCAGTACAGAATGGTCTAGAGCCTTGGGACCATGCACACATGTGAAAACCTGGAAGAGGCTCCAGGCTCCTGGCTTCAGATCAGCTCAGCTGTGGCCATTGTGGCCACTTGGGGAGTGAACCAAAGAATGGAAGATCTGTCTGTACCTCTTGCTCTCTGACTTTCAGTAAAAATAAATAAATCCTTTAAAACATTGGCTAAAGAAAACCGCAATGCCAGCACTGGGAAGTTGAGGCGCAGCTGTGCAACTCATGGGATTCTCAAAGGCAGACTTTCTCTCTACATCCTTTGTGGGACCTGCCATAGGAAATTGATCCTCACAAATAAAATTGAGGCCTACCTTGGGAGGTCAGTTGCCTCGAGTCTATGTGGAATCAATTCTGACGCTTTAAAAAATGTAACATATTCATTTTACTTTAAAAAAATTTTTGAGAGGCAAAGGGACAAGAGTGTTGCTATTTCAGTTGGTGATTGTCCATAATGATTCTAGGAACCCGGAACTCAATCCAGGTTCCCCATATGAGTGCCCAGGATCTGATGACTTGAGCCAGCACCGCTGCCTCCTAGGATCCTCATTGGTAGGAAGCTGGATTCAGGAGTTAGTAACAGAACCCAAGCACTCCCTTGAGGGTCATGGACTTATTAACCACTAGACTACAGCCTGCTTCCTTTGCCCAATTCTTATTTGTTAAAAATTTATTTATTTTTTTATTGGAGAAGCAGATTTATGAAGAGGAGAGACAAAAAGATCTTCCATCTGCTGGTTTACTCCCCAGATGTTGCCAATGGCCAGAGCTGAGCAGATCTCGAGCCAGGAGCCCAGAGCTTCTTCTAAGTCTTCCATGCAGGTACAGGGTCCCAAGGATTTGGGCCATTCTCTACTGCTTTCCCAGGCCACAAAGCAGGAGCTGGATGGGAAGCGGAGCTGCCAGGATCAGAACCAGCACCCATATGGGATGCTGGTGCTTGTAGGTAGAAGATTGGCAAGTCGAGCCAAGGTGCTGGCACCATCCCTTCACCTAGTTTTAAATAAGCAAGCACACCCTGAGAGCCCAGCTTTTCCCAAAGAGAGTGTTTTGATGACTTATGGCTGCACAAGAAGTTATTCTAAAACACAATGGCTTAAGCTACAGGTGTTAGCTTAATTTCTGTGGGTAAGAAATCTGGGAGTGGCTTGGCTGGAACCACAGCATCTAAAAGCTGACTGGCTCTAGTGGATGTGTTTCCAAAGTGATGCCTTCAGGTGGCTTTGGGCAGGAGGCCAGATCCTCACTCCTGGGCCATCTCCATGCGGCTATGTCAGCAGGTTACACTGTGACAGCTGTTTTCCCCAGAGTAAATGGCCCAAGCGTCAGTGATGGGGGAGCAATGCCTTTTATTATCTAGTCTTGGAACTGACTTTACTTGTTGGAAGGGAGTCACCAAACTCAACCTGAAATCAAAGGCAGGCGAGAGGAAGGAAGGGGAATAAAAACCCAAGGCTCTAAGGAGGCACAGAGAGAGGGGCTGATGCCATGGTATAGTAGGTCAAGCCTTCACTAGTGGTGTTGGCATCCCATCTGGGCACCGGTTTAACTCCCAGCTGCTCCACTTCCAAACCAGCTTCCTGTTAGTATGCCTGGGAAAGCAGCAGAGAATGGTCCAATTTGTTGGGCCTCTGCACCACGTGAGAAACCCAGAAGCTCATGGTTCCTGGCTTCATCCCATCCCAGTTCTGGCCACTGCTGCTATTTGGTAGTAAAATGGACGTTTCTCTGTCTTTGAAAATGTGAATTATTTATTTTAAAAAAAAACTAACTAGCTAAATAAATAAATCTTTTAAAAAGAAGGCATATAAAAACCCCTGTGGGTAAATTTAAAACCACCAGATACTGAAGCAGTATTTCCTTATCTGACAACAATTTACCACCTATTATTTTCAAAATAAATGCCTTTTGAGCCAGCACGATAAGTATCCAAGCACATATAGCATACACTAATTTCCAGAAGAAATCCATTTATAAGTTTCCTAAAAATAAACTTCACCTTATCAATAATAATAAGCTCCCCTACCATTCCAAAGAGTCCCAAACATTTCTTCTTAGGTAGGAGAGCCTAGTGGTAACTTATGAGGGAATAAATAGTAACCATTATCCTAAGTGTATTTCCATTTGCCAAATATTTGTTACTATTCATGTTTCCTGGACACATGTCAACCCATGGTAAGACACTTACGCATTTCTACTTAGTGGATATTCATATGAATGGTCTAAAACAGGCCATCCTGTAACTGTCTCCACCTAGTGGATGAAAATGGTACTGGGCAGGTTTGGGGAAAAAAAATCACGTCAAATTTATTTCAGGAGTTGGACACTTCTGTGGGCTTTTCACCATCAGATCACATATTTGAGCTAAGTACCTTCCACGAGAACAAGCTGTACACAAGTTCTTTCTTTACATAAAGCAGGCAGTCTTTGCTTCTTAAATGTAAGCTTTCACATACACTTCCGCCTCTGAAATTCTCTAGGCTGGTAACCTAGGATACTGCCGTGAATCAAGAAAGCAGCACAAAAGCCTCCTGTCTGCCAGAGATGTTACTTACACCGAGGCCCTATTAGTCAGCAACTAGGAGAGTCAAACGCTGCGTGTCGGGCCAGGCGACCTCGTGAGAACCTATTTAGGGCAGCGATGAAGCTCCTGTATTTTCTTAAAAAGGCCAGTCCTCGCAGAACCTGCTTCTCTTTTCCACCTGGAAACCTTCCAACTTGAATTTCAATCTGACAGAAAATCCAAGGAAGGGGTAAGTTCATCTTTGTCAAGCTGTTAAGACTGACAATAGACAGAAGTGTTAGGAAACAGAAACAAGCCTATTTATTCTTGGGTCCAGTCGTTTTGCAACAGCAATACATGCGAGTTTATGGTAACTGTGGGGTTATCAAGAAACTGTTTATTGGAGCTGGTATGTATGGGGACTGAACAGGCTAATCCTCTACCTACAAACACAGGCATCCCATATGGGTGCTAGTTCATATCCTGCCTGTTCCACTTCCCATCCAGCTCCCTGCTTGTGACCTGGGAAAGCAGTGCAGGATGGCTCAAGTCCTTGGGTCATTGCACCCATGTGGGAGACCAGGAAGAAGCTGATGACTTCAGACTGGCTGAGGTCCAGCCACTGGGGTCAACTGGGGAGTGAACCAGCAGATGGAAGATCTTTGTCTTTCCCTCTCTGTAAATCGGCCTTTCAAATTAGAAAACAAATGGCAAAAAAAAAAAAGTAACATATGTTGGGGAACAGGCATTGGTGGTAGAGCATGTTAAGTCGCTGCTTGCAATACCAACATCCCGCATTGAAGAGCCAGTTGCAGTCCTGGCTGCCTTGCTTCAGATCCAGCTGGGAAGGCAGCAGAACACAGTGCTTAGGCTTGGCCCAGGGCTGCTGTGGCCCTCTGGGTAGGGAACCAGCCGAAGATCTCTGCCACCCTGTTGCCTTTCAAAAAACAGACAAAAAAAGTAGCCATTTGGGAAAGATTTTTGAAAATTAAAATTTTTTTCACTTAAAATAACGACTTTTCATGGAGCTCTGCTCCTAATTTCAACATCCTGCTCACGTAAAATCTGGGTCCTGCATATGAGTTTCCTATTAATCAATTAATTAAAGCTTGATAGCTTACTTCAATCATATTATTTAACTAAAGAAAACGCACATTAAAATAAATAATTTTACTATGATCACCTTAATAATAAAAGTCCTCAACTGGTTGTGTTCATCTAAAATTTTGCTTTACTTTTTTTAAATGGAGTATGTTTTTGAGACTGCCTAGCATATAACACCATCTTGCCCCACTCCACTCTCTCCATATATATTGATGGCATAGAATAAATGAACGCAATATTCTTATTAAGAGAGAATTTGCAGAAAGATAAAAATTTGGGGAGTGGGCATTTGGCCTATCAGTTAAGCCACCAGTTGGGTTGGCCACATCCCATAACAGTGCGCCTCAGCTCAGCTCAGCCCCAGCTCTGTTCCCAATGTCAACACCCTGCTAATGTCAAAGGTGGGAGAGCGCACGTGATGGATGAAGTAGCTGCATGCCGTCCACCCATGTCATTCTATTCCTGACTTCCATCCTCCGTCTGGTCCAGCCCCAGTTTTATACAGTCATTTAGAGGACTACATCAGTATTTAGAATTCTGTCTCTCACATAAATAAAAGAAATAGTAAAATCAATTTCCAGAATTGCTGAAAGGCGTTCAGTAAGCACACACGCCTGTCTAAAGGCTGTCACTGCGTGAGAGCCCTGCAGGAGGTGCAGAATCCTCTGTCTTCAGGACAAATATGCGTGCGTGACAATTCTGGCTCTAAGTACCCAACAGCAGTTGGTACAAAAAACAAAAAATCGATGTTTTCATTCTTAATAGGCAAACTTTAAAGAATCCAGAGATGTGTTTCCTGCCCTCGTCCCGATGGCCGTGGTCTTCCACAGAAATGACATCAGGCCGGAAGAAGGAAAAGGTGCCAAATGTCACGTGAGCGGTGTTTCTCTCCCGAGCGAGGCAAGTACGTGAGCCTTCTGCAGCCTCTTTGGGAAGTGGCTGCTCTGTTTTTTGGCTAAAGCTGCCAATAAGAGACGCAAGTCATGACCCTGCAGCATCCTTATAGAAACAGAAAGTAATGAAAACAGAAATGGCTACTTAATACACATGTAGTATTAAGTTATGATTGGAAATGTCTGTTGATAAATAGCTTACAGACCATTTCTTGCTTCAAACTGTCAAAATTTTAGATGTGAAAATTACTTCTCATGAAAAATCTGGAAAACATTCACATGGAATAAAATATTTATTGTGGTTTTTTCTCTTGTGACATGAGACGGTTTATCTTTCCTAGTTCTCCAAATGATACTGTTGCAGAACCTCTTTCAGCTGGTCTCGCCTGAAAATAAAAAAAAAAATTGAGCTATTAGAAATAGATGCACACAGCCCTGATTAACCCCAATAACACTGATCTATATATATATGTATGTATATATATATTATGTATATATAAACACTCCACTGCAAATTAACAAGCTAAAAAAATAAACAGAGACATGAACCCACCAAGAAAAGTGATCTGTCTTCATAAGGTTACCTGAGACTCATGGTATTTCCATCCTATCATGTAATAAATCTGATATGTGGCAGGTACAGAACCGTCCTCATTTCCGTACATTTCTGCAAAGATAAATAATAGTTAAAGCCCCCAAAAAGCACAACAAAAATTATATCTTCCAAAGAGAAATGGATAACATAATACTCACAGAATTCTGACAGTGCCTCACATAAAAAGTTTTTTGTTTTAAAAGATTTATTTATTTTTAAAGGAAGGTCAGATATACAGAGAGGAGGAGAGACAGAGAGGAAGATCTTCCATCTGATGGTTCACTCCCTAAGCAGCTGCAACGGCTGGAGCTGAACCAATCCGAAGCCAGGAGCCTCTTCTGGGTCTCCCATGCGTGTGCAGGGTCCCCCATGCGTGTGCAGAGTCCCAAAGTTTTGGGACGTCCTTGACTACTTTCCCAGGCCACAAGCAGGGGAACTGGATGGGAAGTGGGGCTGCTGGGATTAGAACCGGCACCCATATGGTATCACGGCGCGTTCAAGGTGAGGATTTTAACCGCTATGCTATCACACTAGGCCCATGAAAAATTTTCAATACTGAGAGCCTGATAACAAGGAAAGAAAAACCACTGGTAGTGTGAAGGGAGTCTGCCGGACAGGGTCCAGGGATCTGAAGAGCAGGCGGGAGGGGCCTGCATCCCGGCCTTACCTCGGTACACGGCTGCCGCCGCCAGCATCGTGTCTCGGTGCAGCAGCGCTTTCCTGTTCCAAGAACAGTTGCTTTCCCCCATACCTGAAAGTACAGTACAGGCAGTGTGAGAGAATGCGGCAAATAGCCAACCCCATGTCGTCCAACAGCACACCCGCGCCCATGGTGTCACCACCTTTCCAAGAATGCCACATGATGCCTGTCTTAGCTGCTCTGTGAGGAGGATGGCACGGTACCACAACGCCTCACTCCTCCTAAACCATGACACATATGATCGTGGGATTCGGACGCAGGCTTGGCGACCGGTTACATGGTTATATATTCTCAGATTATACCGATCCCACCTTAGGGAGGGATTATGTGCTTTGCTCTGAGACAGTTCTTTAATGTTTTACAATTCATTTTTAGAGTTCTTTTAGACAATGGTTAAAAACTAGGGTGATAAATACTAACCTAATATTCATTAAAAATTAGTCTGATTGAAATCTCAAAAAAAAAAAAAAACAAAACTGTTACAAGCGCCCATATTTGAAAGTGAGTATGTAAAATCAGAATGTCAGTACTAGCAATCCTTTTGTATTGATTCTCTGTGTTAAACTTCAGTTTACGATCAAGTGTCACTCACGTTATTGTTTTATTTTCATAAATTATGAAATAAACCTCTCAGTATTAGTATTCTTCCATATTTTAAAAATAGTAATTCAGGTCTGGCGCAATAGCTTAGCAGCTAAAGTCCTCACCTTGTACATGCCAGGATCCCATATGGGTGCCAGTTCTAATCCCAGCAGCCCCATTTCCCATCCAGTTCCCCCTATTTGTGGCCTGGGAAAGCAATTTAGCACTGCCCAAAGCCTTGGGACCCTGCACCCATGTGAGAGACCTGGAAGAGGCTCCGGGCTCCTGGGTTCAGATCAGCTCAGCTCTGGCTACTGCAGCCACTTAGGGAGTGAAACAGTGGAATGGGGAATCCTCCTCTCTGTCTCTCCTCCTCTCTGTATATCTGACTTTCCAATAAAAATAAATAAATCCTAAAAAGATGTTTTTCTAAATTTAAAAAAAATTCATTAATCACTGATCAGCCTTATGAAACAATTAATAAATTAACTAAACCTTTTTTTCTCTTCAATCCTAAATAATTTCTATGTTGCTCTAATGACAGTCTGCCTCTGAAAGCACAGATGTGTCTTCTTTGAGTACTACAGCCTCAATTCATGAAGATCAGCAAACACAAAATGACAGATTAATCATCAATGCATGTAGCTCCTGTTTCTGCAGTCACGGGCATCCCGAGCTCTCTGACGGCCTCGGTGCCATCACCTCATGCCCACCACAAATCTACTCCAAAGGCACCCGCCACCAAGCGGCTGGAGGCAACGCGCTGGCGGACTCTCGTGGCCACCTGTGTGGCACTGCGGAGTGTGTCCTGTCCCGTGACTTGCATCACCAGATGAGGGGAGCACAGGGGGAAATGGCAAATTCTTTAAAAAAAAAAAAAATGTAAGATATACAAGAAATTCTAAAATGCCTTCAAAACAACCGAAACGAGGCTAGCCCAAGAGTATCAGCCATAGACTGTCTCTGAACATCTGACTAAGAATCCGGGCGCGCCGGCGTGCAGCCCACGCTGCCTCCCAGGAGGAACACGCGGCCTTGCTGAACTGCCTTCGGCTTCAGGAACCAGTGAGGTGCTAAAACACTCTCTGGGCTTTAAGATTACATTCCCAATTTTAATTCTTATGCAACCTGTGGCCAAGTCACTCCACGTCTACTAAATTCAGTTTATTCACTTTCAAAATGGAATGGTAAAACTTCCCAGCACATCTTGACCAAAGACCTTCTGGAGGAAACATCCAGGACTTCTAAGTTTCAGAGCTACAGAAAAATCTGATTAGCACATAGCCATTTAATACTCTCACAGTGTTTTTAAGGTTAAGTTCAACTTCTTAGTACTAAAAAAAAAAACCTAACTTAGCTTACTACAAACAATACTGAGTATTGTTTTAAGAAAAATAACAGAACTTACCTTAAAATCACTGTGAAAGCCTTGATAATTTTTCATCAGCTGGTATGCAACTTGTTTTGTAAAATTAAGTCAACATTTTGGACTTTTTTTCTGTGAATTAATAATAATGTCGGCTTAGATCAGGAGACACATCATCAAGAAGGGAATATAAAGACAAATGTCCTGCGAACTGAACTTGAGAGCAGCGTGGAGGTCCTGCTGGCTTCCGGTCAGCAAAGCTGCAGCCCGGGAGGACCCAGGCACTCGGCCCCTCTGCTCACCCCGCTGCCACCAGTGCCACCAGTGCCACCTGCAGCCCCCGACTTCCCAGGGTAGACGCTTTGTGATTTCTGGACATGAACCAGGCTGCGTGACTGCCTTGAAACCCTGGCTCTACCACCGGGAAACTTCCTCCTCTTGAATAAGTCACTTCACTTCTGTGTTGATGTTTCCTTGTGTGTAACAGGTCAGCCTGAACATGCTAGCTCTTAGCTGTATCTTTCTTAGAAACCATGCCTTAAAAACAATGCTGGCTGAGCTCTTCAACACCCTTTGCTGGTTGCCTCTCCTCGGGAAAATTCTCCCAAGACACCACAATTTTCCTCCCCAAATAACCCAGCAGGGAGCTGGATTGGAAGCAGAGCAGCCAGGACTCAAAACAGCATTTATATGGGGTTGTGGTGCTGCAGACCTTGTCATGTTTTTTGCAAAGGGACCTTTGCATCTGCCATTGTCTTTGCTTGGGACTCACCTCCCTGCCATTTCCATTTCATTAACTCATCCCTGTTTTCTACAGCATGGCTAAGTTGCTACTTCCTCACCTAAGACTTCTCTAGTCTTTGTTCACAGTCTGTCAGAACCTGACAGAATCTAACACTACACCAACTCAAGTATTTGCTTCCTTGTCTTGGACCTAAGGTGCCAAGCATTGCTGGAGAAACTGATACATCCTACCATCCTCAGACGCACTCTTCAAAGAAGTCTTACCATCTTTTTATTAGCAGCCATAGCACATATGCCCCTAATTCATAGCACTGACCATAGTTCTTTGCAACAGTTGCCGGGGCCCACCTCCTACACTCTGTACACAAGCGCCATTACAATTTTTTTGCTTCCTCATCAACAATGGATCCACTATTTGCCATGAAGTGTGCGTTCAAAATATGTGTTAGCAAACACGGTAAAAAGCTCTAAAGTGCCTTACCTTGCAGATCTTGCATCAGCTCAAACATTCCAGGATAGTTAACTTGAATTTCATCAGTGTCCTATGTGACAACAGAAAAGCAATATCCAGTTGATAACCATCATTTTTAATAAGACCTAGGTCTGAAAAGGGGCTGTATAGATAACCCAGACCAATCTCTCATGGTAAGATGGAAGACTTTGTAACCTGACTTTTGCTTATTTATGAAGGTTTCAAATTGCTAAACCAGTATTCCCTACTGTGAGGCAATCCTTTCATTAACTGATTCTTATTTTTTCTCGGGAACAACACAAAAGAAATCTATTCTGGATGCTACGATTTATCACCCTCTTCTCTAAAACTCTGAAAATTCCTTCTAGAATATCTCAATTTTAGGACGGTGGAAAGGAAGGGTCTCATCTAGATAAAAGTGAAAGATCATAACTGTTTTTTTCTGTTGTGTGTTTTTTTTAAGATTTATTTTCACTGTAAAGTCAGATGTACAGAGAGGAGGAGAAACAGACAGGAAGATCCTCCTTCCACTGGTTCACTTCCCAAGAAGCCACAATGGCCGGAGCTGCACCAATCCGAAGCCAGAACCCAGGAGCGTCTTCCAGGTCTCTCACATGGGTGCAGGGTCCCAAGGCTTTGGGCTGTCCTTGACTGCTTTCCCAGGTCAGAGATGGATGGGAAGTGGAGTTGCCGGGATACAAACTGGTGCCCATATGGGATCCCAGCATGTGCAAGGCGAGGACATTAGCCACTAGGCTACTGCGCCAGGTCCTCACAACAGTTTTTGACTACATTTCCCTGTACGTAGTCAGTATGAATAAATGTTAACATACAGTATGCAGGACCCAGCCAAATATGGTCCTCATGACACAGCTTGTGCAACACTACCTGGTGAGGAGATGTACGCTCTGCTGACCACACGCAGGTTATTTCCCAAATAAGGGATAGCATGATGATAGAGCGATAGCTTGAAGCAGGAGTTTACCGCAGATAATCCCCAATAGCCCAGTGCTTCCTGGCTCCTCCCAGCCTTAAACACACAAAACACGGATGAGCAGATGGTGAGGAGCTGCTCAGCCTTTTCCAAGCTATCTGTTCTAGTCTATAAGGAAAAAATTGTTCCGAAAGGATATATAAGACATAGTAGTGAGTTTTTAGGGAGCAAGGAAAGAGTTATCAGAAGTCAGACTTTTCACTTGAGGCATAATTTAACTCTATATAGTTTATTCTTTCTTCTTTTCTTTAAATATAAACATGGATCAGGTTTTGTGTATGCTTTCATGTCACTGCATGAAAATTTGCACCATACCTCCCCATATCACCTAATCTCCTACATCCTCACCTCTAATTTGTTTCCTCAGTGATTACATTTTTTTTAATCACTTCATTTTTAAAAACTCTCCTACACTTTTTAGGGGTTTTATGATCCCAGATTCTTTTCAGCTCAATTATAGGTTTATAACAAAGCAATATGGAAGGAAATTAAGAGGGTGGCCTATATATTTTTTCCACTTAGTGAAACTGTGGACAACCAAGTATCTATCTCCCTTTGCTTAACAGCAAGCTTCCCGCAATTGTCAAATATGCCAACAGCCCATATAGCCATCTGCCCACTTGGGACATTATATGTTGCTATGACCTTGATATTGTACCTAAAAATCTTACGAGCTGTCTCTGTGATAAAACCAGACAGACCAACTGCAGCCAGCTCTGTGACCAGAGTGTGTGGGGCAATTCACATGGGTGAGTTACCGCGTCGTGGCTATCATGTTAAATGGCACGCCACCAATGACCTCTGAGCAGCCAGCTCTGAACATGCAGCTTATGTTAAGTATGACTTCTTAATGTGCATGTTCACAGGACTTTTTTTCCAAGTTCCTGCTCCCCAGCGCCTATCAAATCAGTTAGTTCTACCCCATGTCCCCTCACTCCATAAATTCCCAAATCCATCTGTGTACAGAGACACATTTGTATTTTTGCTTTTTCTCCCTCAACAATTTAGAGGCTTGTAAAAAGTTTTCTTCTCTGAAGCCTTAGCATCTAGTGTTTATGTTATGGTCGCGGAAGGGAGAAGGGGCAGTGGGCCAGCTGATCAGGCAGTATAAGTAAAGGGATTAGTAGAGATTGGGCTTTAAAATCACTGGTTTCTCATCAACTTTTAGCCATATCAGATTTCTTGAAATCTCATGAAAAACAGTACATTGATCTCTACAAATGCACAACAACTAATCTGTACACAATGTCCCAATATTAGATCTACAGACTAGCAACAGATCTGCTACGGATAGAAAAACTACTGTATCGCAAATACTTAAAATAGGATCTGGCACCTAAAAGGTATTCAGTGTTTCTTGTAAGGCTAACTAAATAAAATGGAACACAAGGACACTGATTGTAGTATTGCTTCTACTGGCCAAAAAAAAAAGAACAAATTTAAATGTCATTCATAGGGAAACAGTTAAGTAAATGAGCAGCATGCAGGAGGACAAACGTACCCAGACTGATTTAGAGAAGTTTTTAAAATACATTGCTATGAATATAAACTAAGTTTCAGAAGTATGTACATAGAATATGAGTGTCTATATAAAGTACAGCAAAGCAGTGCTTAAAAAAGGAAACTCCGAAACATGGCATGCCAGACTGATAATAGTAAGTACCACTACAGCTGCAGTGCGCAAAGTCTGGTTTGAGTGCTGTGTTCCCTGGGACCCAGGGTGTTTCCTTAGTAATGCAAAGACGTTATTTGCCTTTTCTATCTCTTAGCCTACAGTGGTATTTTATAGAAACTACATGACACATGGGAACAGCAGTGGAATTCGATGCAGAAGCAGGTATGAGAATCTCTTTTACTAAGGCACGTTTGGGGACTTCAAAAGTAAATGAAACATACATGTTACAAAAAAATTCCACACGAGTTTAAATTTGCACTGAAATGAAATTTTTACACAAAAACAGGTTTATAAGTGACAAGTATATTGCTGTTTATTATTACATGGATTCACATGCTGAATTTAAATACTAAAGCAATGTGGTTAATACTGACATCTGTAAAATACATTCACAAAAGTCTCAATTATTTTTAAGTGTGCAGAAGGATCCTGACACCAACTGAGACTTTTGGGAATAAGGAATGACATACTTGCTTAGGTTCCTGTACCTGCTTGGGGAACCCAGAAGAGGCTCCTGGCTCTAGCCTGGACCAGCCGTGGCCATTGCGGCCATTTGGGGAGTGGGATGGCGGATGGAAGGGCTTTCTCTGTGTCTCTCCCCAACTCCCTCTGTAGTTCTATTTTTCAAATAAATCAATCTTTTAAAAAATTTAAGACATATTAAAAGCTTGTGAAAGGCAATCCTGCACACAGGTTTCGGGGACCGAGGGTCAGTTCTCAGCCTATTCTAGTCTGTTGTTTTTCTCTGGATAACCATTCCCACCATCAGGGGCTCAGCTGGTCCATGCTCTGTACTTTTTATCAAAACAAGGAGGGCTAGGGCAACCTATTTTTGGTTAGATGATTATATGAAACACATTAACATCAAATCTTCAAAAATAACTATTTTAATCTCAAGCCTATCATCTTTAATCATGCAATGAGAAACTTCATCAAGGAATTCCAATTTCCTCTAATCAGGTTTAGAGCTGTTTATAGGCCCGTGGAGTCCATAAAAATCACGTACAGTAAATTGACTCAACTCACATCTGAACAGAGTAATGATTTCTTTAGAATGACACTGATGTTGGAAGACGTGAAGAGGCAGCCTCTCCCGAGGACTGACACCCCTCAGCAAGCCCAACCTTACAAACTGCTAGAGCGGAAGACTGGGAAGGAGAAGGCCTTAGCAGGGAGTATGTGCTACATGCCCTTTGTCCTGTGTAAAACTAACAACCACCTGAGGTGAGCAGCATTTGTGTCTTTTAAAAGAAATGAGTGTTGGAAAGAGGTGAAGTAACTGACCCGCTTGGCCTAGCTGATAAGTGAAAGCTCCGTGCAAGCTGCACTCTCGTCCCTGCTTCAGATGCCTGCTGCTGCCGGAAGTGTACTTAAGTCACTTTCGCTCGTCATCTGGAATGCTCTCACTTCATCATACACTCAGCTCTGGATTTGAAGGTTTGGAAGAAGTAATATGTCTAAGAGAACAATCTCCAGGTTAACATGGCACCTTTTCTTTGTTTTTACCTACTTATTCAGGTAATAAACAACTAAAAATTTTACATTCCTACCTTAACCTCAATTAGATGTGTTTACACAAACTACAAACGGTCGAGCTTTATCTTAAAAAAAAAAGGGGGCGGGGGGAGAAAAAATATATCCAAAATCTTTGTAGAATGCTGTGATTATATAGTTTTCGGTCTTGAAAAGAAGTTGTTTCTACATTGTGCAGTCACCGGCTGATTGGTTCCCTGGATAGTTACCACGGTCAGTGTATTAAAGCCAGCTCTCCCGAGCAGATGTCCCAGGTCATTGACCGCTGTGAAAGGTGAAACGTGGGGAGAAAAGCCGCCTTCTCTTTCCGTTTCTGCTAACTGCAAAGAACACCGAAGCTCGTACAGAGTGTCGCCTCCGAACATAGCGCCAATAAATACGCCATCCGGCTTCAGAACATAATGGATCTGCAATAAATACAAGACAACAAGACTTTACATGTAGAAATGTCAAAAGAATAACTATGGGGCATCTGAATCAACCATTTCATGACGACCAATCTTACTTTACCCAAACAATGATTTAAAACATCTAAATAAGCAACAGTCAGAATATCATTGCTGTATAATGGATTTGTCAAGACAGACGATACTGTTTAGTTACTACTAACAGGAAGGATATGCTGAATCTTTTCAAGTTTACAACAGACATCACTCACTCATCCAATCAGAAAACTGCCAAAAGAAGCAATAGCTTTAAGTGTAGCAGACTGCAAAAATCACAATCTTTCCCACTCCTATGCCCTTTGAAATGTCATTTTCCAGCAACTGCCACTGCCACCAGCTTTCTCAGGGTTTAGGCCTGCCAGCAGGTCCCAGGGTCACCAAGGGTGAGACAACAGTACTCTTTAAGAAGCACTGGAAACAAGCTGGTGAGGAATGTCTGCTTTATTATGCGCAGGTTACAGTTTTTAAAGAGTAAGAAAGGGGAGGGCAGGAGGGCATCTTCTGGCAGACCCTCTCCCCCCTGCCCCCCGACACTGTAATTGGCTATATGACATGTCTATTTTCTTTGACCTTCCAGTCATGTTCCATGTGTATTCCCCTTGACCTTCTAGTTGTACCTCAGGCCATGGGTAGGGAAGCTCTGAGCCACACTCAGCAGGTAGCAGGGCAGGGGCCTGGGGCGATTGCCCACAAAGCTTTTTGTTTGTTTAATGATTTGGTTATTTATTTTGAAATTCAGAGTTCCAGACAGGGGGAGAGACAGAGAGTAAGACTTCTTCCATCTAGTGGTTCACTCCTCAGATGGCTTTAATGGCCACGGCTAGACCAGGCTGAAGGTGGGAGCTTCTTAAAGGTCTACCTCGTGAGTGGCAGAGGTCAGAGCACCTGTGACACAAACAGGTGTCAATATCGGATGCCAGTGTTGCTGGCAGCTGCTTCATCTGTTATGCCACAACTCTTTATCATGCCACTTTCTTCTTCAAAGTTCGCTAGCGAGTCTGGATTACACAAAGAATAAGTCCTACATGTTTTGACTGGCATCCAAGTCCTCCTGCATCTGATCTTAACACGCCCCACATCCTAGCAGTCATCCCCCATATTCCATAACTGGAATGCCTCCCCTACCCATATCTTACCTACCCTCTAAATCCTGTCCAAGTAATTCCTTACTGTGCAAGTGTTCCTAGTCCATTCCAAGCTACAATGATCTCTTCCCTTCCTTTGAGTCCTTGTCTTACCTCTTCATGAATAAATATCAACTAGTATTAATCTATACCCTATAATGCATAGGAGGAAAGAAATGGAAATATGTGTTTACCCATAAAAAACTATAGGCAATTAAGAGACACAAGGAATCTACAGAGAAAATGTCAATATATTTTGTATATTCATTAAGCTCTTATAAATATTTAAATATTATCTCCACAATTTGATTCATTAAACTCTCAGAGACAGTCACTCCATGTACATCTTAAAAATTACAAATTGTAACGAGTATACCCAGCCCACAGAAGATATAAATAGTGAACTCGATTCCACTATTCACCAACTGTCAGACCGCCAAGGAAATGGTTTATGAATATGAATGCACCTCTGAGTTTCTAATAATGAAATAAAGCAAAAATAGTAGAATCAGTAAGTTTCCTCACCTGTTCAAGTGCCCTAGGAAGATCATTCACCCAGTGCAAACTATAAAATGAAAACATGTGTTTGTTTTAGCTTAAAATTAGTCTAATTCATACAACTATTATTTGTACAATGAAAATAGTTTTAATGGCAATGCCTGAAATCACAAATTAAAAATCAGATTCTTTTCATATAGGTTTTAAAATAATGAACATCTCAGGGAAGTGCTTGTCACACTAGAAAATCCCATGCCAGTCTATCACTTTACTTAACTAAAACCTCAATTTGGCAATCGAATTACTATTCATCTAAATATAGTGTAAGTCATTTCTACTCAGGCATTTCATCAAAACAGTGGTGTACAAACCCCTAATATGAAGAAAGCAATACAAATTATCATGACACATTCAAAGGGGCTTATCAATTCAATTCAGAAACTACAGAAATATTGTAGAAGTATTTACTTTCCCAGAAAAAAAATCATAAGCCAATTAAAGCTTTTCCAAAGGCAATTCACCGAAAGTTTGAACTCAGTGAGTTTTCTAACATCCCACTTTTGTTTGTTAAGATTGTTTTATTATTTTTACATGAGTTTGAGGTTCCCAGCAAAAATGAAAGGAAGGAAAGGACTTTTCATAAACCCATCTGCCACCCCACCCGTACCTTCCTGTGCTCAATCTTTGCCAGAGTGGCATGTCTGTTCAAACTGGCAAGCTTACATGGACTCACTATCATGGCATAGTCCGCGCTTTATACCAGGGTCCACTCAGACATTGTATGTGCTCCGATTTGTGGTGATATATGCCCACGACGATAGTACCACTCAGAGTAGTTTCAAAGAATCCTCTGCGCCCTGCCTATTTCATTCCTCCCTCGACTATAACCACTAGCCACCACTGGCCTGTTTTAGTGTCCCAAGTTCTATCTTTTCCAGAATGTCAGAGACACACAGTACAGCCTGCACCCTATGTGTTAAATTTCTTACATGTCTTTGAATGTCTTGAGAGATGATTTGAGAACAACTAAGATGTCCTTTGGTAGCTGAATAAATAAATGGTCTATCCAGACAATGAAGTATTCTTGGACTGCTGTCTGCATCCACCCGACTATTCAACCAGCAAAGGGTATCTTAGTTACTTTCAAGTTTGGAGAACTATGAAAAGAGCTACTCTAAGCAGTCGTGTGCAGATTTCTGCGTGGAGCACAAATGCTGCATCATATGGTATGACATGTTCTGTTTCATAGAAAGTGCCACAGTGCCATCCAAAGTGGCTCAAACTGTCTTCCCAACCTGCTGTGCCATTTGCATTCTCAGCAGTGTTTAATGAGAAGCTCCAGTAGCTCTGTAGCCTTGCCAGCACTGGGTACTGTCAGTTCAAAACCCTCTCCTCTAAACCTGTAAACATGAAAAATACCAGTATTCTCAACATTAAAAAACCTCAAAATTATTAAGAATTTACTCCACTGTCGAAGTTACTCCATAGTTTATTATTTTGAACTCATAAAATTAACAAGTATAAAATAGTGAAATGTTACAGCATGAATTATCTACCTATGAATATAACATACATGTTTTTAAAAGTATAAACAGATTACCGACCTTAAACTGCTAACCACTAGGTCAAATGTATTTTCACGGAAGGGAAGGAATTCTTCATCGGCTAAAACGTGAACAGTAGGAATTTCTGTTTCCAAGGAATTTTTCTAATGATAAAAAATACAAGATCAAAAAAAATATTTTCATATAGTCTAAATTATTAACATGATCATTGTTACAGTTAATGGGATATTCACTTGGCAGTTTTTGTCAGAGAAAAGATGACATAACGAGACTCAACAAATATTTCATAAATGACACTTAACATCAGCCAGAAAGCTGGCCAACTGGTTGAGAAAAAAAACATTGACAGGACCCATACTTCACAGTAAAACAAGTCTGAGAAAGTCAAAAGTGTCAGGGGAATAACCGGAGTCATTAGGGGACAGATGAGAATACAGGTGATCCCTCATACTTTGCAAGTCTAACGAAACACAACTCGAAAAGCTAGAAACTATCAAAAACCATCAACAGCTCTTGGGCTGTACAAGTTATTCAAGAAATGTAAATAAAAATTACAAAGAAATTTTTACTTTCTTTCTATCACACTGACAAAGACAAAAAAGACCAGACCATGGGTGACAAAGAGGAGGAAAAACCAGCTTCACCTAACATTGTTTTCAGTTTTCCTAAGGACACCCTGGGGATGCATATCCAGAACTTAGAGATGAAGATTGGTGATGCCATATATTTTATTACCAAGCATGTATTGTCAAAGAATTAAATCAAATGCAAAAGTTGCTTCATGTAAGGATGTCCACTGCAGTTATAACTGCCTCTTAACAGGAATGTAGCTAACAAACCAAGGATTATTCACATTAGAATATCATGTTCTCATTTGCAAAGATGGTACTCTCACACATACACAATATGCTCCGACAGAACAGAATGATCATCTGTTAAAAGCATGGAATGGCAGCATGAGACTGTGTGCGTAAGATTGTGCACAGGGTGGCAGATAGCTAACATCTGCAAAGGTGGGGCCCAGATGTCATCAGCGGTTGCCTCGGCATGGTCATTTTTCCTTTTTCCTTTTATTTTCTATACTGTTTAACTTTGCTTCATGGGTGCTGTTTTTAAAACCAGGGGAAAAATCAAGTTCTATTCAAAGACACCTACCAAAGCATTTTCTGCAATGTCTGTCTGGAAAAACTTCCCAACAGTTTCCTGCAATGGAATAATGAAAGCTCATCAGATATCAAACCAAAACAAACGCACCCAGCAACAAAAAAAGTCAAGATAGAAGAAGAATCATGTTTTAACTTTAAAAACCACAACAGCTTTCTCCTGCCCATCATATTTGATAAACCATGAACTTTAGTTAATCTTGACAGGTCTCTCTCTCATGCATCCTATTAACCCTATCTGCTGCCCCCACTTATGTGGAAACTCCAATTCTTCTACAGTGCTCCTAATAGTCTGTTCCTCTAGCCAATCCTTTTTTCAATCCTTCCTGCTTACCACAATCAAGTTACTCTTCCTTAAGCATCACTGTTATCAACAGCACCTTAAAGCTCTCCTCCTTAGCCTTTTTCCTGACTTCTGAAGTTATGAACAGCCAATCTAATTCTTTAAAATCATGGCTTAGACTCTGAGAGGTCCTGATCTACTCTACTATTTTGCTTTCCTTTAATTCCGGTGGCATATTAATGCCTGTACATTTCTGCATTATTTATTATTATTAATAAACAGTTTTAGGAACATTACTCCCTCCTCCCTATCCTAACGATGTATCCATTTTTACAAAGTAAACTGTATTCAGAATTTAACTGTCTGGCCTGGTGTGATGGCGTAGCAAGTTAACCCTCTACCTATGGTGGCAGAATCCCATGTAGGCATTGGTTTGTGTCCCAGCTGTTCCACTTCCAATCCAGCTCCCTGTTTATAGCCTGGGAAAGCAGAGCAGGATGGCTCAAATCTTGTGACCTGTACCCATGTGGGAGACAACCCGGAAATAAGCTCCTGGTTCCTGATTTCTGGCTTTGGATCAGCTGACCTCTGGCCATTGTGGCCATGTGAGGAGTGAACCAATGAATGAGAGGATGGAAGATCTTCCTCTGTCTCTCTTTCTTTCTGTAAATTTGCCTTTCTAATAAAAATAAATAAATCTTTTTTTTGAAAAGCAATTAATATTTCTTCTAGCTAATAAATTGCTTCCCAATCTATTTGTTATGAATGCTGACCTGATTTTTTATTATTAATTTTCTTTTTTTTTTTTTAATTTTTTTTTTTATTGGAAAGGCGGATATACAGAGAGGAGACACAAAGAGGAAGATCTTCCGTCCGATGATTCACTCCCCAAGTGAGCGCAACGGCCGATGCTATGCCGATCCGAAGCCAGGAGCCTCTTCCAGGTCTCCCACGCAGGTGCAAGGTCCCAACGCTTTGGGCCGTCCTCGACTGCTTTCCCGGGCCACAGGCAGGGAGCTGGAAGGGAAGCGGGGCTGCCAGGATAGAACCGGCGCCCATATGGGATCCCGGGTGTGCAAGGCGAGGACCTTAACCACTGCGCCACCGCGCCGGGTCCTATTATGAATTTTCAAAAGTGAACAAACTGGGAACAAAATGAAATACACCTCACACAGATGTAAAGAAATTACCAGTAGGGATACTAGATAAAATTATTAAGTGTCAGCACCAATATAGTCAAAATATAAATATAATCCAAATTACATTGATTAGCAAAGTCTATCCTGGGGTCAGCGCAGTAGGTTAATCCTTCACCAGCAGTGCCAGCATCCTCTATGGGCTGCTCCACTTCCTAGCCAGCTCCCTGCTTATCCACTGGGAAGGCAGCAGGAGGCGGCTGCCAGGGCGCCTGCACCCACATGCAGAATCCCAAGGGAGCTCCTGGCTTCAGATTGGCTCAGCTCTGCCGCTGCAGCCAATTGGAGAGTACTGAGTAGAAGGAAGATCGCCCACCCTCTCTCTGTATACCTGCCTTTCAAAGAAAAAAAAAAAAAAAGAGGTCTATTTCTCAAAAAATTATCAAATAAATACCTTATTCAAATGTTGTGCTATGTAACCTCTTCCACTACCAACATCCAAGGCCAGGGGGAAATCTCTAAAAAAAGACACACAGAAGTTACACTTTGTCTGAAATAACACAGTTCATCTAATAATTAACAACTAATTCTTCTTAGGGAAAATCATGTAATAATTAATAACTAATTCTTCTTAGGGAAAAACATTTGAGTGAACGCAACTTTCATCAGGTCACATCTGATCTCTTCTGCCCTGCCCTGGAAGCTACACCTGCCAGAGGGCATCCTATGACTCTGTCCATTTCAGACATGCGCAGAGCTTTCCAGAGGGGACTCACTGATGCAGAAGGAAGAACAGACTTAATGAGTCCATTTGAATTCAAGAATACAATCAGATGAAGAATGAAAAGAAGTTCATGTAAATTAACATGAAGAGAAACAGCATACTTAACTGGAATTTAGCAACTAGTCTTATTTGTAAAATCCTTGGAGGTGACAGAACACTTAGGAAGAAATCATCCTGTGAAATCCATGAAGGAGTAATAGCTAAACTTAAAAAAAAACTAAGTAACATCTAACTGTCACTTAGCTAGTTTCCATAGTGTAGTGGTTATCACGTTCGCCTCACATCTGTCACTAAAACCTTACTAGTTTCAAAGTGTTATGGTAAGTCTCACAAGCTAAATGAATCCAGGCACCTCAATTAATAATCAGCTGTCATAATCGGAACTCAATTAGCTTGAAGGCTGAACTACATTAATATCGTCTAAGCAATGCTTCCTCTTAAAATATACTAAGGCTTAACTAAATCAGCACAGGCATTTATTGGTAAGCTACAAATTTAAGTTTACGAAATAAGAAGCTAATTTTTTCTACCCATAGCATTTTTTTTTAAAGATTTATTTTATTTTTATTGGAAAGGCAGATATACAGAGAGGAGAGACAGAGAGGAAGATCTGCTGTCCGATGATTCACTCCCCAAGTGAGCACAATGGCCGATGCCAGGCCGATCCGAAGTCAGGAGCCTCTTCCGGATCTCCCACGCAGGTGCAGGGTCCCAAAGCTTTGGGCTGTCCTCGACTGCTTTCCCAGGCCACAGGCAGGGAGCTGGAAGGGAAGCGGGGCTGCCGGGATTAGAACCGGCGCCCATATGGGATCCCTGGGCATGCAAGGCGAGGACCTTAACCACTGCGCCACCACGCCGGGCCCTACCCATAGCATTTTTCCTGAAAAACTGAAGAAGTCCCTTTTCAATTTCTCTGAAACTTTGCCAACAGTATGGAATACCAGCTGGCAAACAGCTGGTGACAGCCAACCACTTGCTCACCTACAGCTTTGTATCTTGATTATGAATATATGCAATGTAACACTGGTGGTGCCCAGGTTTTTGAATTACAAAGACCTGAGCTGCAATTCTAGGACAGCAATTTACTCACCTTGTGGCTACAGACAAGAGATTGTATCTCTGTGCCTCAGTTTCTCCATCTATAAAACAGACGTTACTGCTTCCCTCCAGCAGGGTGAGAGAATTAAATGAAAATATGCATGTAAAGTATTCAGCAGAGTTCAAATGTTAATTATCACTGATTTTAACAGTATAAGACAAAACTTAATTTCCACAAATGAGACAACATTTAGAATATGGAGCTGATTAAAATTATCAAAAGATAAGTATTGACAACATAAATTACTGTTTTTTTAATAGCAGAACATTATTGCAAAAATATTTTGTCCTCAATTTTAATAATTTAATTCCAAAAAAATTAATGTTAGCGTATGCTTTTAACCAGAATCCCAGATCCTTGCATAAATTTCAGTTTTGCTTAGTGCCATGAGAAAGCAGCTGTAAAAGCTAAACTGACTTACATTTAAGGCTTCATTTATTATATCACTAATGAGTATAGTGGTATTTTTTTCACATCTTCAGAATCACAGAACTAATACACAGGCTATCATAGCACTGAAGCATATATTTTTTTTTAACTTACAAAATTAGCTCATCACAAGACTGGCAAGTATATATATTCAAAATTAATCCATCTGTTTGCAAGAATGTGTCTAAGATATGACTGAAATCGTTGTTGCTTTGGGGGCTGGTACTGTGCCTCAACAAGCTCACTGTGCACCCTGTGGCACCAGCATCCCACAAAGGCACTGCTGCTGTCCCGGCCACTTCTGACCCAGCTCCCTGCTTGTGGCCTGGGAAAGCAGTAGAGGACCCTGCACCCACATGGGAGACCCGGAAGAGGTTCCTGGTCCCAGCTTTGGATCGGCTCAGCTCTGACTGCTGCAGCCACTTGGAGAGTGAACCAGCAGAAGGAAGACCTTCTTTGTCCATCTCTCCTTCTCTCTGCAAATATGCCTTCCAAGTAAAAATAAGTAAAATCTTAAAAAAAATAAAGAGTTGTTGCTTTTACATTGAATCCCTTGAGTCTTGCCCGCAAAGTTCTTTGCGTGTTGTTATGAGAAACATCACTTACCTGGCTATGTCATAGACACGGTCTGCGATGCGACTTCCAACCTAAAGGCAGAGATGAACCGCAGTTAGGCTGAGCAGGTGTACCAGGGAAACACAGCGACAGACAACGCTCTGCAAGTTACACACTTCAACATGGCAGGCACTCTTCTTTACCCCCTTTTCCAATTCAGAACACTGTGCAATAAAATATCCCAGGAAACAAATAGAGGCAAACATCATAAGGAACAAGCACAAGATTCAAGACTAAACATTCTAAAAATATTTAACCTTTGCATTGCATTCTATGCCACATGAAATCACAGGCATAAAAAACCACAGGTGGGCCTGGCATGATGGCTTCATTGGCTAATCCTCCCCTTGCAAGCACCAGTATCCCATGTGGGCCTTGGGGTTCATGTCCAGGTTGCTCCAATTTACTTCCCATCCAGCTCCCTGCCTGTGGCCTGGGAAAGCAGTAGAAGCCGGCCCAAAGCCTTGGGACCCTGCACCCACATGGGAGACCTAGAGGCTCCTGGCTCTTGGATTGGGATTGGCTCAGCTCTGGCCACTGTGGCCATTTGCGGAGTAAAGCAGCGGATGGAAGATCTTTCTCTCTGTTTCTGCCTTTCCAAAAGCAAAAAAACAAACAAAACAACCCCCCCCCCCGCATTTCCAATTAAAAAAAAAAAAAAAAGCAGCAACAGGCACATTACTACCCACAGATAATCACTATGAATTGTACAAAAATACAAAGATTATTTACTTCAGATTATTGATCTATAGTGTCACTTTAGATCAATGTGCAAGTGGTCATTTAAATAAAATTCTATTCAATGACTACCAATAAGTTCTGCAGTATTCCTAAATGAATGGATAATTCTTCTGAATGATCTTTGAAGTAATCTCCATCAGAAGAACGCTCATCCTCCCATCTAAAGCGATCACAAGGGAGGTACCGCTTCTCGCTGGGCTTCCTCCCTACAGAAAGACACGGGAGTCTAACACGCTTCACAGCTCCTCATCCTCTCAGAACAATCCTGGAGTCGCTCCGAGGACTCGAACCCTCAGCGCGCAGATGTTTCTGCCTGGGGGGGGGGGGGGGGGGGGGCAGAAAGAGCTCCGGGAGAGCGGAAGAGCCCACTCTGCACAGTATTCCCACCAGGAATCACATCTGTTTATTAGAACAAGAATATTGACACACTCTGTCACATTAAGCCTGCTTCTGTACACTGGCAAGGCACTCGGTCAAGTTCCTTGGGGAAGAGACCCCCCACAAACCCTTCCAGAAGAAGCCGACAACCTGACAGACCAAGCCGGATGGCTAAGATACAGAATATTCGCTGGCAGCTAGCTTCCTATCTCAGGAACAGACATTACAGATCTCCGAGATGCTGTCGCACCGGAGGCTTCCTGACAAAGTCCCACTGCGGATCCCTCAGCAGGCCCGCGCTTGCACCGAGCTCTGCTCAGAGCTGCCTGCACCTAGGCTCCTAAAGAGCCATTCGCCGAGGCCTGCAACAGGGGGGCTCCCTCGGTCCGCAGCCCACCCGGGTAGGAAGCTCCTCTGAGACAGCACAGAGATCTGCATTGAGCCCTGCTCACCAGAGCACTGTTGTGCGAAATAACAAACGCCAGGTGAGTAATTACAAATTTCCCAGTAATCACATAAAAAAAAAATAAAAAGGGAATTTTGATTTTTTTTTTTCTAATCCGCCACACCAAGGTTATCATTTGCAGGTATAATGAATGCCAAAACTACTCCTTAGGATAGCTAACAGCCTCACTTTTGCATGCTCAGTCACTGAAACCCAGCACGTGTTTTGCATCTCAGTGGGACCAGATCCACTTCGAAGGCTCGGAGGTCACCCAGGGCCAACATGTCCCGTCCTGGACCTCACGGGCTCCTAGTGAGCTATGCACTTGTGCTCGCTGCAGTTCCCTCCATCACCTATCTCCTCTACCATCTCTCTTCAGTTCCCCCGAGGGACAGCGAGCCTGTCCTCAGAGACTTAGCAAGAAGGCACAATGCAGCTCTCTGCGGTCCTAGCAGAGCCCCAGAGCGGCATGTCTGCTGTTCAGGGTCACCTGGCCCCAGCTCCGACCCCGGCCTCGAACCCGCGGGGTCTGGGCGCCGCTCTCACCTCCTCCTTGAGGTAGTCACACTGGGTCGACTCAGGCTGTCGGGCCGCCCAGTTCTTCTGTTTTCTCTTCAATTGCCGATCGAAGATATTTAGGGCGCCGGGCGAGAGGTCGCCCGGGGAACAGGCACCAGAGGCGACGGTCCTGCGGCCCAGGGTTTCTGCAGAGACGCTTCCCACCGCACGACATGGAAGCCACACGCGCTGGAGCCCGGCCCGCAGCAGCATCTCCGCGACACGACGCCATCAGCCAGCGCCCGCGCCCGCGCACGCGCCGAAGCCGCTTCCGCAGCTCCGCTGGGAGTAGTTTGGCCCAGCTGGCGTGCCTTCCGGCGCAGCGTCATGTGACGGGTCGTGGGCGTGTCTCCCCACGTGCGGCTCTGAGAGGGCTCCGCGGCGGTGAGTAGCCGTGAGTTCTGGAACACGAGCTCCCCGGTGGGTGGGAGAAGGGTCTGACAGGGTCTCCTTCGGATTTGGGGAGGGTCGGGCCTTCTCTTCCCTAACCTTTTGCGCCTCGTTTTGCTTCTGAAGGAGGACCCCATCAGCTGTTTCCTCAAGCGTGGGGGTGGGGGGTGCAGGGAGACCCTGGTATTCTCCTCATGGTAGTGGCGGTGGGGTGCTGTGGGGCACGACGGGGTGCAGGCGCATGGCCTGGGCTTCTCGTTGTAGATATTATCTTCGTCGGGTGCGTGCAGGAGTACTCTCCTCCCAAGCCGTTAATAGCCAGTGACTTGTCAGCTTTGAATCCAGAGATGCTAAGCCGTTCGTGCGTGGTGGGAGAGCGGGGACAATCTGTTCACCTGGGCCTTAATCACTTCTGCTCATGGAAAAAAAATTTAGGGAAAGGGGTGCTGTGAGCGGGAATGACAGTGGATCTGATTTTTTGGCGGGGGGTGGTGGTGGTGGTGATTCCTTTTGTGTGTGGGGGGGGCGGTTTGGACGATGGTTTGATGTAAACAGCGGATTTTGTGAGCTAAATTTAAGTGCATTCTCACCTTTTTGTTTAGGGACAGGCCCATTTGATTGTACTTGCTTTTAACTTGTAACACACGTAGTTACACAACTGGAACTATAGGAATTGTAAATGATAAACATTTGGTCTCCTGCCATCCCACTGCAAAACTCTGGTTCCTTTACCTTAAGTTTGTTTCTCCAAGGGGAAACAAGGAGACATTTTGTATGTTTTGTGGCTTTTCTGCAGGTGACTCAGAATAAGTGGGAGAGATGAAATAATACTTATATTATCTTCGTGTAAAGGTTGAACTTAGCGTATAATGTGAGTTAACGTGGTTTTCAAATGTATTATGCTAGTAACGATTTCTGTAATTTTTTCTATTTGTTTTTTTTTTTTTTTAGGGTTTGCTTTCTTTACGTGTTTGTCCAGCATTAGCGTTTAAAAATGTCAGCCAAGCAAGAAATCATGAGTGACCAGCGGTTTAGGAGGGTGGCCAAGGACCCGCGATTTTGGGAAATGCCTGAAAAGGATCGAAAAGTAAAAATTGACAAGAGATTTCGAGCCATGTTTCATGACAAAAAGTTCAAGTTAAATTACGCAGTGGATAAAAGAGGGCGCCCCATCCACCACAGTACTACAGAGGACTTGAAACGCTTCTATGAGCTTTCTGATTCTGATTCTGATCTCTCTGATGAAGAGAGTAAAGCATTGAGCCAAGAGACGAAGGAAAAGAAAAAGCCCCTGACCAAAAGAGAAAAGGATTCCAACAATTTGGTTGAGAAGAAAAAGAAAGAAACCAAGCAAATCAATCCAAAGGTTTCTGCAACTAAAGATGATAAATCTGAAGGAATTCAGAAAATGAAAAATTCACATAATTCTAAGATAGATTCAAAAATAAGTTCTAAGAAGAATAGTGAAGATTCTGTAAGGAAGACTACAAAAGGGAAAAAGACCATTGTCCAAGGTAGTGCGGACTCTCCTTGCAAAGCAGAGCTGAGGTGTGCTGACTCAGAAACCGCGGACATGGGGAAATCTGTGAAGATCAAGGGACCTAAGGCAACATCAGGTGAGTTGGAATGTTGCTAAGTAAACATACCAAGAAATGTTTTTCGTAGTATATTGGGAATGCTTAATTAGAACTATAGCTAAAGCTATGAAAGGAAAAAAAAAAAAAGATTTCGTTTTTGATCTGGTGCCAGAAAACAGATAAGAAAATTGGAGGGGTCTTAAACATGATTTTGATTTCTGGTAGGCACCAGTGAAAGCTAAATTGTCCAGCCAGGTAAAATATTAGGTGATAGCATTGGGAAGTTGAAGTATGTGGAAATAAGTACTGATGCCTTCATTTCCTCAATACGTGGTTAGTAACTGGAGTTTGACGGACACAAATAAGGCTGGTGACCCCAACTCCCACTTTTGCTGTGTGGTACCGTGGTACAAGCTAGAGCAGGTGATGCTTTCTGAACACACAGCAATGCCGCCAATGATGGGCTAGCGAGGGGATGGCCTTTCAAGTAAAGGCACAGGTGGTTTTCCCTGAAGTCCTGCTGTGTGGTGCGTGACTTGCTGAGTAGAAACTGACCTTGAGAGCAGCCCTTCTTGCCTCTTCATAAATATTTTTGTGCAAAGGCAACCTGCTGAACGCTCACTGGCCCTGTTCTAAAGTTGGCATTGTCTGATACAGATGTGTAATTTGAGACTTTCTAATAATTATTAATAATGAAAAGGCAACATTTTAATAGTATCTTTATTTAACCCTATATGTCGAAAGGTTAGTTTAGTTAGTAATATTTTAAAATTAATGATATATTTTACATTCTATTTTCTTACTGACCATGTTTTAAGATCCTTTATTTGAAAGGGAAAAGCGTAGAGAGGGAGAGATAGGGCTTCCATCTGCCGAGGTCTCGGCCTGGCCAAAACCAGGTGCCAGAAACTCTAGGCAGGCCTCTCACATGATTTGGCAAGGTCCCAAGCACTTGGTCATCTTCTTAGATACATAGCAGGGAACTCAATTGAAAGCAGAGCAGCCAGAACTGCAGCCTTCATTCAGATGTGGTATGCTGGTATCACAAGGAGTGGCTTAACCAGCTTCACCACACCACCAACCCCTGGGAGAACCTTGTAGGCAAAGATGTGTTGGGGCATTTTCAGAGGAATTCATTAGTTTTGTTGGATTAGATATTAAAAGGTCTTGAAGGAATAGAAGGATAGTAGAGCTAGAAATGATATTTGGATTTAGGTAGGAAGCAGCTGGTTCTTGTGATTATATATTTACTAAAGTAAAGTTATTAAAATTTTGTGACACCCCTAGCAGACAAAAGCTGAGTGTTGATGTTACTGATCATTGAGGCCGTGACTGAAATTAGTGGTGATTGTTGAGAGCTGGGAAAGGACAGGCCAAGGGTGGCGGGCACTGGGAAAATAGCAGGTGGAGAAAATAGAATATTCCAGTCCAGGAACAGAATTCTAAAAAGGGAACCAGGGCATTGGGACAGAGACAGCGGTTAGTGGGGACATCTCATTATATTTGCAACGGAACCTGGCAGCAAAGGAGTTATTTCATTTCCTCCACCTTGAGGTATGAGGCAGGAGCAAAGTTAAAGTGATTTATTTGTGTCATAATATATGTAATGACGCAGAGCTGAGGACTGCAACTCTAGTGGGGTTTTTGTTATAGTTTTTTAATCTTATTTATGTGAGGCTTGGTGTGTTAGTATTACAAGTTAAGTCTCTGCCTGCAGTGCCAGCAACCTTTATGGGCACTGTTTCGAGTGCTGGCTGCTCTACTTTCTATCCAGCTCCCTGCTAGTGTCCTGGGAGAGTAGTTGAGGCTAGCCCAAAGCCTGGGCCCCTGCACCCATGTGGGAGACCCAGAAGAAGCTCCCTGGTCCTGGCTTTCACCTGGACCAGCTCTGACTGTTTCTGCCATCTTGGGGTGAACCAGCTGATGGAAAATATTCTGTCTCTTCCCTCTCTCTCTAACTCTGACTTTCCAATAAAGATAAGTAAAATTATAGAATGATTATTTATTTGAAAGATAAAGTCACAGGCAGAGAGAGATGTTCTGATGGTTCACTCCTCAAATGGCCACAGTAGCCAGGCCTGGGCAGGCTGAAGCCAGGATTCAGGAGGTTCTTCTCAGTCTCCTTCATGGGTGCAGGAGCCCAAGCACTTGGGCCATCTTCTGCTTTTCTCAGGTATGACGTCAAGTGCAGTGGTGTGGACTTGAACAGGCATCCATATGGGGTGCCAACATGGCAGGCAATGGCTTAACCACAGTACCACAACACCAGTCCCTACAAGTTGGTTTTGTGAGTCTTTTGACCCTACTGTTTTGTTTGCAGTCATTTGTGTTGGTTCCACAGTCTAGAAAAAGCATTGCATTTCTATCAGCAATTCACTCTCTCTGTAAAATAATCTTGCTTTCATTATTATGCTATTTTTTTCTTTAGATTTATTTATTTGTTCATTGACAGGCAGAGTAGAGGGTGAGACAAAGCAAGAGAGAATGAAAGGTCTTCTGTCGGTGGTAAACTTCCAAAAATCACTCTGTGGCCTGGGCTGGGCTGGGCCAAAGCCAAGAGCCCAAACCTCCACCCAGGTTTCTAATGTGAGTCCACGGAAGCAGGACATGAGTCCTTTTCCAGAGGCACAGTGAAAAATAATGCAGTAGAAGTAGAACAGTTTTGGTGTGTTGCCGACCATACCAGTTGCAAAGTTCAGGTTTTAGTGGAAAAGTTAGTATTTCTGTCTCTCTAGGTGATCTCATCCATATCCGAGCTTCTGTTATCATGTGTAATGTTTTCTCTTAGATGACTCAAAGCACTTTGAGTTCAACCTGTCCAAAACAGAATGTGTGTTTCCTTCTAGTGTTCTCTGTTTCTCTTGCTAGCTCCAGCAGTCTGTCTCTGACTCTTAAAGTCTCTGTTCTCTGTGTCAAGTCTCTGCCACGTGAGCACTCTTGGTTGACCTCCTGGCTGGCCCTGAAGGCCGCTCACACTCTCCATCTCTGCGTACACTGGCTTGGTGGTCCTTTGTTTCTTTGCTGGAGTACTGTACTGCACTTCCGGTTGTCCTGCCCATAGCCATTCTTAACTCCCTCCAGTTTTTGATGGTGAAGCTAAAATGGTTTCCTCAATATGCAAATCCCATGTCATTCTCTTGAAACATCTGCCATTTCTCCATGGTTTTGGTAGCATGACTCCTGCCTCCTGAGTTCCGTCTGTTACTTGTCTCCTTGTTTCCTGCAGTTCAAACCCGATTGTTGGCCTTTTGCCTGTTAATAGAT